CTGGAAGGAGCACGGGTCCACGATCGCTTCCTGGGAGGAGCTCGGCTCCACAATCGTTTCCTGAGCGGAGCACGGCTCCACAATCGCTTCCTGGGCGGAGCACGGCTCCACGATCGTTTCCCGGTCAGAGCACGGCTCCACGATCGCTTCCTGAGCGGAGCACAGCTCCACGATCGCTTCCTGAGCGGAGCACGGCTCCACGATCGCTTCCTGATTGGAACACGGCTCTGCGATCGCTTCCTGGCTGGAGCACAGCTCCACGATCGCTTCCTGGCTGGAACACAGCTCTACGATCGGTTCCCGGCTGGAACACGGCTCCACGATCGCTTCCTGTCTGGAGCACGGCTCCGCCATCACTTCCTGGCTGGAACACGGCTCCACAGTCGCTTCCTGGCTGGAACACGGCTCCATGACTGCTTTCTGGCCGGAGCACGGCTCCACAGTCGCTTCCTGGGAGTAGCACGGCTCTACGATCGCTTCCTGGGCAGAGCAAGGCTCTATGATCGCTTCCTGGGCGGAGCACGGCTCTACCATCGCTTCTTAGCCGGGGCACGGCTCTACGATCGCTTCCTGAGAGGGGCACGGCTCCACGACCGGGCCAGACGGCACCAAAACTACACTGTCGTAACTTAAGAAAAGCCGCATAAACCTTTTATGACTATCATCCTCGGCTTCTGATTTCGACATCGCCTTGGTAATTTACATAAGGACGATCTCAACGGCTCAAACATCAATAGACTAACTTTCATGAGTCTGTCATAACAATAGTGATTTACCGGGCAACGCGCACGCCAACGTTGGTGAGAAGCTCTGGGTGAAGCCTTCGTCAGGCTAGAATCTGTCTTGTACAGTGCACGGTGTGCGTGGTCGGCGCTAATCGTGAGTGATCTCGTCTGTAACCTTCTGCGCGAACACAGCCAGGCATCGCGTGGGTTGACGCAGTCAGATGCTGAGACGTTCTCTTGGCTTAACCAGATTTTGTTAGCACCAACGTCCCAGTTCCTCATTAGATATGAATCATCGCTTGACGTGGTTATCGCCAACACTCCGTACAAGATCCAGCACGCTGTTTCGGGCGGCATTAAGCAATTCATAGCACAAGGCTGTGCACTTCGTCACTCCCAGTCGGTGTGCAGGCAACTGAATAGTTGGGAGTGTGCAGCCAGCCGACGGGACTGCCGCGAAGACATCTAATGACACAGAGAGAGGCGAGGCTTGGAAGCGAGCACCGCGTTATCCGGAACAGTGTTGGTAGCAAGGGACCTTCGCTATCAAGACTTCCAGATGAGCTGAAAAGCTAGTCCAACGAATCTGTCGCTGCCATCAGGGGGAAGGACTCAATGTATTGACTGCAACTCCGGTGGTTACACGCGACTGCTGCATCAGACCAGTGTGCGACGGCTCTCTGCCTACAGCATGTCACTAAACATAAAGTAAGATGCGCTTTGATGCTGTATGCGACAAACATTGGCTGTGCTTTTGGTCGCGATGGCATGACGTTTTATATTGTCAAGCTCTGTCTATCCCCCTAATGCCAGCACATTATCAACAGCAGCTTTCCTCTATGATGGTTCCATGGAAATGGGCGATACCGATTGTGTTACCGATTCTTAAATCTGACCACATAAGAGATCTTCAAACCAATCTCGCTTTTTCCCATCGTCCCAAGTTTTACATCGCATGGTCTGATATCTTGAGCCAGCAAGGGGTTTGTAGAAGTCATGTAACCGGTAAGGCAATCCTGAGCATTGCAGATAACATATTCGAGTCATGGAAGTTGGTAGGTAGCGCTAATCGCCCAGCTGAGGGAGCCCACAACTCGGACTCCAAACCCTCATCTTTGTGGAGAAGGTGGGCCAAATCCGGGGACAAATTCATTTGTTCGTGCATTTTAGGAGTAGGTTACATCATGCAGCATTGCTAACCCCCTCCCTCCAACTGATTGTACAGAACTGCACCTCTGAGCGCGGCCTCTCCAGCATATGGCTATGCTCGACGCTGTCCAACGCATTAGAAGTGGAGATGTGACCCGTGACGTCACCTTTTATCTATCGGTGTTGCTGGTGCCATACGCGATGGCGTCCAGCAGTGCCGCTTCCATAGAGGCCAGGGTGAAAATTGTCTTGCTGCGGCGCGGAGTGCTTTTGCTGATTAAGTAATCGATCGGAAACCTTCGCCATAATCGCTATAACACAAGCAAGTCGCTAGTTGTTTGGATCGCTGAGATCGTCCAAAATTTGGACCGACTCGGCTCCGCCTCCGCAAATCCGGTTCCATCCCAATCAGTCCAGATTCCAATCGGTTACGCTCACTGGACCTATGCCCAGGAGACATACGCTCACCGGACCTATGCGCACGAGGTCTACGATGCCGTCAGTCCCAATAAGCGAGTCACAGTTCGTGGGCCTGTCGCCATCTATCATAGAGAGGGTAAATGAACACTTACTGTTACAGACACGAGATGACAATGTCCGCTGTGCATCGCACCGCGTCACGTTTGTGAGACTGGCATTAAGACGAATTGAGCATGACGTGGTAGTGATGAGCAGATAAGTTTTGTTTGGTGCACTACACCGTTTCTGCTAATTGAATGCTCATGTCAATATTTCATACTGCCCATTTGTCCGGACCCACCCGCAGCGTTCCAATGACTATCAAAATGAATTTGTATCAAAATTTGTAACGTTTCATGAGACGTTTCCACGCATTTAAAAAACCTGATCTTGGGGTGTTTTGAAACCTCTTGAAGGTGTTGGTCGTCGGGGTTGGCTTCAAGCTAGTGTCTTTCAGCATTCAGCACCATGACCTCACACCCGCAGGGCCTAACAGGTAATCTGAAGTTGGCATGTCATGCCTTGGTTGAACAAGCCGACAATCGAGTCCAAATTATTCAAACCACGTTATCGGCCTTGCTACCAGTGGAGGCGGAGACAAGAAAGAGCACAGGAGGACACGGCTCTACAACTGACGTTGGGGCCCCATGTTCAATATGTATCCAAATGTTGTGTTTGCCGCGGACAGCCCGAGGTTTTGTTGGGTGTGGCTCGCCGCGCCACGGACCTGTGGGTGTACTAAGGATCTGTTTGACGGGTGACGCTTTACCCCACTGACCTCCGGTCTGGTCGCCGCCCACGCAGCACCCCCTGACTGGCTGGGGACTGGACTAGCTGCCCCCCCCCCCTCGGCGGCGCGCGCCCCCGAACAAAGCGAAGGTCGGACTGAACCTCCACCCGGCAAACAGAAGGCCCGGCCTGGATGCAACGGGTCAAAGCCTTCCAACCACAACGCCATTTCGGGCTGTGTGGGCCAGCGGTGCCTGCAGTCGATGCGTGTGTGGGGGGGGGGGGGGGGGGCTTGGCGCTTCAACGGCTTCAGTATATTCCCAGAACATAATTTTCTTTCCGCGACCCTGCGTCCCGTTAGTAAATGGCGGTAATTAGAGCGTACACGTTCATCTATCAGTCTGGTTCAGCTAGCTACTCTGTACCTTCGTGAGGGGGCGTCGAGAGAACGTAGAAGCAGCAAAACGTACTATTCCAATCCAGTAGCAATGCAAGCCGCGAAGTGCTCTCAGTTACCAGCCTATTAAAACTACTGAGACCGACAACCCAGACACGAATGATGTCTGTTGATGATTCGATGCTGCACGAAAACAAACGGCCACAGTTTGTCAATTGATGATCAAAAACTTATGATCAGTGATGACGGACGCAGTAATGCAGACAAGGGAACGAGCCACGGTCAGGACAAGCAACTGACAGCCAAGCACTTGCTGTTGGGCAATGTCCGTACAAGAACATTGTATGACTGGAACCTATGGTGGTTTGAATCAAAAGCTGCATATCAAATTTGTACCAGTTACCCAGAGCGTGATACTAGGGTGGTCATGGTACACGATTCATGGCGGCTGGCCTCTAGCCATGGGCCAGAAGAGCAGAAGGGCTGTACGCCTCTATGACCTTGGCCGGATGCTGGGGTTTTATTTACGTCGAGGACAGAGGGTGGAGCGCGCGCGGTTCGCCATCGATGTGCGTTACATTAAAATTTGGTCGGCCATCCCCAGGCATTATCTTTGCGCAACCATGGTGTTGTTAAGCTTGGCTCCAAAGCTGTTGGCCTCTGTTGATATTCTGGGCAGTAGGGCTCTGTGTCGTCGCGTGCCCTTGTATTTCAAGCGATGTCCTTATTCTTCACAGCAGTAAGTTTCGGCTGACTCTCCTCCAGAGTCAAAAAAGCTTGTCAATGGCTTGTTGCGAGTACCGTAAGGTTGTCCTAATCACAGAATGAACAGTTGGTTTACAGAATTAGTTTTCAACTTGTTTTTGGTAAATTTTTGCCATTTCATAAAAAGCTGCTCATTATTTTTTAAAACCTTATGTGACAGCTGTATGTCAAAATAGATGTATTTTTAAAACTCACAGCATGTGATGAGTGCATTTCTGTTCCAGTTCAGGCAGCCTGGATCTGTCATTCCAGTCTCATGATTCAACATCTCCAGCAACACCAGACATGGACCACCCACCCATTCTTATTATGCATGGTCTATTGGGATCAAAATCCAACTGGAACTCACTGTCAAAGTCAATCCATCTGAAAACAAAGAGAAAGGTAACAGATGTAAAGGTACAGTGCCACTGACATGTGATGCTTCACATTTCTTGCAAGACTCAGTTGATACAGTAAATGTCATTGTGTTGAACTTGATGTGATGCACACAGTCCTGCAAAGTTAATATCTGTTTTGATTGTGCTGATCCCTTTCTGCACTGTGTCTTTGGTTTCATCAGGCTAGCATGTGTTTGCCATCTCCATGGTGTTTTGGGGGCTTAGGAAATAGATAGTAAAGAGCAGGAATGCAATTTGTCATAGAAATTATTGATTTTGTCATGCATGTTCTTAAGGCCAAAAATGGTGCAGTGTTATGTCAGGTCAGCTAACTTCAAACCCTGAAGGTATGCAGAGTGGCATGCATGGGAAGCATGGTGTGCAAGAAGGCAATAGATATGCAAGTGTTCAAATTTAAATCAAAGTTCTACACTTGCCACTGTCATGGCAAGTGTAGAATGCAATCATGGCATGTGATTAGCTTTGGTGTATTGTTTTACATTTTGAATATCTGTGTATATGCCTCAGAAGACATGATTTGAGTGTAATTGTGATAAGGATAGTCATCATTAACTATGTACCATTGTCATTGCATGAGCTGTTTGAGTAGTGTTCAGATGGTAGGTTTCTCACCAAGCTATGCTAGTTGTGTGAATATGTGACCACCACCACCCAATATTCCTAATTGTGTGGTAGTTTTGCTCCAGACTGTTCACCAAATAACAGTGAATTAAATGTGCAATGCTGTGTTATGTACAGTTTACCATGCCTATGATGAAACTTTTGACCCCTTGTTGGTGAAACACTGCCTTACCACGTGGCACAGATCTCATCCATGGTGGTTGCCACTGGTTTGAAAAGAAATCAAGTGTGCCATCAATTTTGCCCTAAAATGTCCAGAATCAGCTCAGGATGACAACTTGTCACCAATTTCACACAGACATCCCACTGTTACATTGTACTGTACTCATTAGGTCATTACTTATCCAAAAGCTGAAGTAGCACCTTTTTACAAGCATAAGGTGAGCTTAATGTGGATATTTACTAGACAACATGGAGATCTTAAACTAGATGTTATGTTTTTTCTTTGTATTTCTCAAGCTTTCCACTTGACCTTACTTTCTATTGTATGTGGTTTGTTACTCCAACTTGACTGTAGGCTGTAAGATGAGGGACTCCTGTTACTGTCTCACTTGATGGGCACATGTAAATGGGTTCTGACTTGTTTCATGCTTTTGCATCAGGTCTATGTCACACATCTGCATTGATTTGGAACAGTTTGGATGGGCATTAAATGACATGTTGGTGTTGTACAGGTGATCAACATTGATGCAAGAAATCACGGGGACAGTCCTCACTCTGAGCAGATGGACTATGATGTCATGGCCCAGGATGTCATCAAGTTGATAGCTGACCTCAAACAAAGTAAAGTCACCCTGATGGGACACAGCATGGGAGGAAAAACAATGATGATGGTGGCTTTAAACAATGTAAGTACCCCAGGCATGCTCCTTTGTGTAACAGATCTGTGCCATGTTTTGTTGAGCAATTACTTTCCATAGTTTGTCCTTTTGCTTCACAATCCCAATTTGGACTCTGTCAGGGATTTTATAATCAAGTGTGTTCACTACCTTTCAGTTGCATGCATGAGCCCTGCTGCTGAAGCCACTCAGACCACTGTAGCCCCACCCTGATGCTCCCACTCCCCGCGTGGCCCTTGGTCCCGACGCGCCCTGACCGGCGCCGCGTCGCCCAGCCGCGGCTCGTCTCCAGCCTGGTGGTGGTGGACATCGCGCCCTGCACGCGACCGCGCGCCGCCTCCGACATCCCGGGCCTGCTGGATGCGCTGGCCGGTGTGCGCGTGACGTCCGGCCGGTCGCAGTGGGCCGTCAGGAAGGAGGCCGACGGCCAGCTGGAGCGAGCCATACCAGTCAGTGGACACACCCACAGGCTGGGCACAGGCACGCGGTGTTGTTGGAGGTCGTCAGTCTGCTTAGGTCACTCAGTCGTCGAGTCAAGTTACAAAACGAGATGAACTTATGGCAGAATAGGTGCGCAAAGTTCCCCCGGGCTCCCCCTGCCACTCCGTTTCCTTTATCACGGTGTGTTTGTTTTTATGCTTATGGAGCACATTGGTATTGAGTCAGTTTGGGTGCGGACCACAGACCACAGATAATAAGAGAACGTGATGCCTCTATGGCTGGAATATTTTTGCCGCCTATCGTCAAGCCGCGTGAAGCAGGCGTCACATCGGCATGGTGCAACCGACGCTGTTGCCGGTAGTGTTGGTGGAACCTAGGGCCATCCTCTGGGGTCGACGTCGGCGCCAGTTTTTGGCGCGACTTTGGCTGACGGTGGCTTGTCCTCAGGACAAGTACCTGCGCCAGTTCCTGCTGACGAACCTGGTGGAGGAGGCGGGCGTGGTGCGCTGGCGTGTGAACCTTCCGGTTCTGCAGCGGTCCCTGCCGCGCCTGGCGGCCTTCCCCCGACCCCCGACGGCCACGTACGAGGGACCAACGCTCTTCGTCGGCGGCCAAAACTCAAACTACATCGAGTAAGTGTTTACATATAATTCTGCCTGTAGTGTGGAGAGTCCACGCCACTCCGCAGGGGCGGATCCAGGAATCCAGGAGGCATTGGATGGCGGACGCACTTCTGAACGTTTTTGACTCGGATCGACATTATTACCACTAGTTGTTGTACATGAATCATAAAGTGGTGCCCTCCCCCCCCCCCCCCCCCCCCCACATCTATATTTCAACTGTATCCTGTCTGGCTTCCACTTTCTCGTATTTGGGCGTGCCTGAGGTGCAAACGATTCAGATTATGCCAAAGCATTTATCCTAGAAAATTATCCGCACATGTTGGTCTGGGTAGTTTCGCTGCCGCCAGCGCTCTGTCGGGCGACAGCCTCAAAGCCCAGGCAATCTTTCGCCACATGTTATCTGGCATGCACGGACAAAACGCTGCACAATTTCAGAACGAGAACCTATTGTTGCGCCCTTGTTCTCGTAACTGAGTCACCAGTGCGACTTGGTTGGCGACAACGGCCTCCATGGCGTACAACCTTTCGGTACTGGCCGCGGACTACTGCTGAAACAAATCAGGACGCTGCTGCCGCCAAACGCTGCTACTGTACTGTGCTGCTGCAGCATAGGAAGATAAATCAAGAGATCTGCCATCCAAAGGCAAAACGGCCTATGAGCAATTAGTTGACATGGCACTTAAGCATTTTTGCCTTTGGATGGCAGAAACTGTCGGGCCTGCATGCAAAGGGACAACGAATTGATAACCCATTGGTACGTCCAGAACACCATACAGACGTAGCCAAAAAGGGAAGTTGCATTCGGGAATCACTTCCATTGTGCTCACAAACCATAACAGCCCCCAAGGACAGGTTTAAAAAATGATAAGAAATTGTTGCGAAATGTTGCACAAGCCCCGTTGAAATGCGACGGATACAAACTCACTATCTAAATTGACCTGAGGTACCTGGACTAGAAAAGTTCTGGAAATGAATAAACAACGCAGGAACATCAAAATTAAAGTAAAAAATGTGTTAAATGCATTTTCCGCTCCATCGCCAAAAGTAAAAGTATCTCCCACACTCATCACCATTCGCTAGCCATCACTAATGGCAGATCGGCCGCCCGGTGGGCCAGTGACCAAGTCGCTGGTGCCGGGCCTGGCTGGTCGCTACCAACCTGGGGTCAACGTTCAGGGGCTCAACGCAGCACTGGAATGGCTCGCGGACCGTTGGGAACAGCCGCTCCTTACCCAAGAAATTAAACAATGTTTCGCTCGTGCGCTAATATGCTCAGACGAAGCGCGCCGACCAACACTGCACGTGGCGAGTAGGCACGTCAAGACCACCTCCAACCCCAAGTGAAGCCACGCGATTAGTCTGTGCATCCTGCATGCTGCACATTAGTCCTGCATGCAACGTCGTCTGCAGTAGTCGCTATGTTCTGAATGGGGCTCACAAGAAAAGGCAGGTTTAGTACTACTATGTAGTACTATACCGTGTGCCCTGTATGACATATTGAGTCACTCTCATTCCCTGGTGATGCGTCGTCCGTGTTTTTTTTCACGCAGTCTGAAGTGCAATCCCCCTTCCCGAACGCATTCGCAGCTTGCCCAATGGTGTATATGCGCCTCCTGCCGCGCCCCGCGGGATCTGACCTGTGTGGCCCTTGATGGCGGCCTGTCCCGCGCCGCCGCTGTGGCCTGACCTGTCGGCCCGCTGGTGGTGCCACCTGCCCCGCCCCTGCACGACGTGACCTGCCGCCGGCGTTGTTGGCAGGCCGTCGGCGCAGGACGAGATCCGCGCCCTGTTCCCAGCGGCGCGGTTCATCTGGATCCCGGACGCCGGCCACTGGGTTCACTCGGAGCAGCCGGCCCGCTTCCTGGAGGCTGTCTGCCCGTTCTTAGCCTCGTGACCCTGGGTCACGGCTCCGGCCCCGCTCGGGCGGGACGGGCTGTTGTGAGCAGCGCCGTCGGAGCTTGTCCGGGCAGATAGCGTGCACACCGCATCACCTGTGTTCTCAGCTCATGCGCCGTGCATACGCGGTGGGTCAGTGCAATACCACGACACCTGAGCCTTGCTGTTGGTTGTGCAGTTTAGTTTGATGGTGGCGCTATTGACGATAGAAGTTCAGCGGTGTCAATACCGAGGGTATTGGCGCCATGGTGGAATGGCACACATTGATTATGTTGTCTTTAAATGCAGTCGTAGTGTCGTTTCTCAATACATGCTCTGTGGGTAGTTCATTGATTATATTTGAAAGTGTGCAGCTCACTTGTCCATTATATCAGATCTCCCATCACTATATCACAGATACCACCAGTCGTTGGGCCCACGCCAATGTGGTTACGCGGCTTGCGGCATGGCCATCTAGCCGAACAGAAAACAACGATAACTTAGTGAAACGTCGCCGCGCGGCGCTACGATCGACCGAAGAGACGCATGATCGATATGCGTCCCCTGGGCGGCGGTGCGGACGTTGTACTGGGATCGGTGCTGGATTTCCGTTCGGTGCGACTGAGTTTCTTCTGAATCTCTGCGTCGAGAAGTTCCTGCATGTCCGACTGAAAAGTCAAATGAGATTTGTTAGAGCATCCATCTTCAAATTCGCCCACGCATGGCGTGGTGGCTTCTAGTGGCTTTAAGAGCTCGCTGTTCGCCGCTTATTGGGATGGCCTGTGGGCGGTGGCAGTAGCCGCGCTAAAGGTCAGGTGACAAAGAGTAGGGTAGACCTGGCCCATCTTCACTGCACGTCAAACTTTCGCCGCAAAATTCTGCCGTTGACTTGGAATTTCTCGATCGGCTGGTGGGATCAGTGCCCACGCAACTAAGACTGCTTAGCGTGGGCCCTGATTCCAGAAATCAATCCAGTCAAAAGGGTCGGACTTGATGTTATCGCTGATGAACACCCTGAAAATCAGGCAGGTGACGCGATCCTGCCAGCGCGTCTGTCGTGTCTCGGTCAGCCCGCCGGTGTCGCCACCCGCCGGCCTGTCGCGAAGCTCTCACCTGCCACTGGTCCAGCTGGCAGGAGAGGCGCACCTTGTGCTGAATTGACTCGAGAAGCTGCGAGTTGGTCTGTAGCACGTCGATGCGCGCCTTAGCCAGCTCGAGCTCAGCGGCGCTCTTCCTGCGGACGGCCTGGTCCCGCGCCTCCCACGCCTGCGGGCATGACCCCCGAGGTCAGCCCGGCCGAGCTCGTGTGGCCGAGACCCGGACACCAAGCTGAGACGCACCCGTCGGTCCTATGGTCGGGGAGCGGGAGGGGACACCCCTGATCGGCTCGGGCCTTGACCACACGCCGGAAGGCGGAAACCCCCGGACTGGCAGCTGGGTCACACCCACGCCTGTCGCGGACTGAGGGAAACCTCTGGAGCGGCCTATCTCAGGGTAAACCAGCGTGGAAGCCAACACCCACCTGAGCGGTGCTCATCTCAGACACTTGGCACGTGTCGAAGTCGGAGTCTGAACCTCGGCTGCCATGCTAGAATATTTCGCTGTGACGTACAACCTGGCTTCAGTCTACAGTTGGTTGTGCCGGATGAGTGAGGTCTCCGAAGCGTGCATGTATTGCACACAAATGCCTACCTTGCGGACGAGGTCATCTTTCGCCACGTACGCCTCTTGCAGCTCGGTGGACAATACGTCCCTTTCTTCTTGTAAGGCTATGCATTGTTTCTCCCTCATAGCCAGCTGAAATATACATGACATACATGGCAAGCGATATCAAACGTTGTGTTTGTTTCATGAGAAAAGCAGACCGTTTGTACATCATAACCTTTAGATTATTTGACGCCTTCAGAACTCGCCATAGGGTACATCGAGTTCCGACGCAAACACCGTCGGCGTGAAACTGTGACTTTTCTCCGCTGCATTGTGATTTCAACCAGTTACCTCATCTAATTCCCTAGACGCTTTTCACGACTTCACTAACGACCCTGACACAGCTAATTGCATTTTCCTCGTGGGGTATCATCATGTTAAAGGGGGGGGGGGGGGGTATGAGAGTTACTTCTGCGTAGATTGTTTCGGGATGACGATTTTGCCTCCAGCTGAGCCAGCCTCTGCTCCAGAGTCTGTCGATCTCAACTGGTGGCTGTGTCTGAGTTGGACGGCTCCTGCTCCTGAGGCTGCCCACCCCAAATGGTGGCTGTGTCAGATCAGCTGAATGATCCATGTCTGCCCATCTCACCCAGTGGCTGTGTCCGACCATGTGCTCCAGAGCCTGTCCGACCATGTGCTCCAGGGCCTGTCCGACCATGTGTTCCAGAGTCTGTCCGTCTCTCATGGTCACCGTGCCTGACCAGCTCCTGAACCGTAGCCCGGTCGTCTCACCTGGTGGCTGTGCCGGGTCACCTCCTGCTCCAGCTGCTCCAGGGTCTGAGTCTGCTGCTGGTGCTGCCTCCTGCAGCTGGTCGTGACGCCGCCGCACGGCCTGCAGCTCGTCCTGCAGCGGCAGCCGGGCCGGCCGGCGCAGCTGGGGCACAACCTCGGCCAACGCCGGCAGCAGAGGCTCCAGCCTGGCCCGCGCCGCCGCCACCGCCGCTCGCAGCTGCCACGGCTACGTACAGAGGCCGCGTCGCCGATGACGGCAGGGGAAGGCAACCGTCGGCGCGCCGTGAACAATGACACAGGCCATCGTAGGCGGCTCGAAGGCGGCCCCTCCCGGTGGCGAGAGGTCACGCCAAGCACACCTGAGCGGCTCGGTCACATTAGTTTTGTCAGAAACTGCCGCCGGAACATTGTCATGGATGGGTTGTTCACAGGGAAACCCCTCGAAAGAAGCTCGCGGCGCTTTTTCTTATATACTCGTGTCTGTGTGAACTGGAAGCGACACTCCCGCAAACTGGGAGCACCGCGGCAGTGGGCGTGGTTCCGAACACGTACGGCAGATCTGTGTACCTGGTAGCCTGATGTCGCCGGTGTTATCTCGGTGAGCTCCGGCGCCGGCTCCGGCTCTGCCTGGCTGGCTCGCAGCAGGTCCACCAGCTCCCGCAGCTGGCCGGCCGTCAGAAGCGCCTCCCGGCGAAGCGTGCGCAGCTCCTCCGAGCCAACCTCCGGCACCATCGGCTCGTCGCACTCGACGCCGTCTCCGAGCTCCATTAGCGTCACCTCCCCCGAGGGCGGGCGGCTCACTGGCGACAGGCACGCCCCGCAGCGTGGCGAGGTCAAATGACGTGGACATGGTGACACTAGTCACATCACGAACCGTGGTCATCAACAAGCGCGGCGCACCTGAATCTGCATGGACCGCCAATGCCTGCGCAGTCGCCTGGAAACGAAGCCCAGCGCTCAACCAGTGAGGCAACTGTTGGTCCTTGCTCTGTGGCCCAGCTCGGCTTGTCTGCATCGCCGGACGCTCGCCTGAGCCGATGCCCTCGTCCGCGGACAAGTCGGCCGCTCACCTGAGCCGATGCCCTCGTCCACGGCAAGTGGCCTGGACCACCGGAAGCCTATGCCTCGTCCACGGACAAGTCGGCGCTACACCTGACCGATGCCCTCGTCCACGGACAAGTCGGCCCGCT